ATAAAAAAAGGAAAAACTCCCCGGTTGCAACAAGTGGCACACATGCAGCACGCCACTTGTCGCAATCTGAGGAAGTTGGAGTGATCTTCACAACAAGTACTCTTTTTTTTTACGGAAAACACAACAAGTACTCTTTAACTAGTGATTTCGTCTTTACTCAGTATCGAAAACAACAATATTTGCGCCGCTAGAGCTATATTTCGCTCACACCGAGTCCTATTAGGCCTGGCCTCTCCTTCGGTGTCCGCTGGTATGGGCCAACCCATTATTTTGTTCGCTCGCTCAGTCATCGCTGTAGATTTGTTTTTCTTCTTCTTATTTGTTGTACAGTGATTGGACTGGACCAGTTTCTTTTGTGTGTTTTTCTTTTACTGTTTTCATTGGATTTTTATTTACTTTCTTTTTCTGAGTGTTTCTTTTTCCTTTGATTTTTTTTATTTTTTTACATTTTTTCCTTTGGTTTTCATCAATTTCTTCAAATATATGTTTTGATGTCAATTTTTTCGTACACATTATACATTTTTCATATACACAAGAAACATTTTCTTATACATGTTAAATTGATTGAAAGACATGGTTAAGATTATTTTCAAATATACGTTTTGATGTCTACATTTTTCTATTAATTCTTCATTTTTTGTATAAACAAAAAACATTTTTATGTAAGTAAAACATTTCTTGAATACATAATTAATATTTTTCAAACACATGTTTTTGAATATTATTTTTCGAATACGTGTTAAAAAATTATCAAATAAAAGCAGTGATTTTTTTAATGATATCCATATATTTCTGAACTATGCTGACAATTATTTTACACTTTTCAAATACGTGATTAATGTTTTCTTTTCAAATTTGAGTTTTGAGGTCTATATTTTCATACCTGTTGTAAATTTTTGTATACATCAGAGATATTTTTTCACGTTTAACATTTTTTGAATAAATTATTAACATTTTTTTCACATACAATGATTGGCATTTTTTCAAATACATTATGATATCTTTTTTTGGTAGAAGAGATGCCTACTTGTTTCGTACACATTGTACATTTTTGTATACATTTGAAACATCTTTTTTATATATGTTTAACATTTTCAAATATACGATTAACATTCCTTTAAACACATGTTTTTGAACATTTTTTTTTCAAATATATGTTAAAGATGTTTGAAATACGTGTTGAAGCAAAAAAATTCAGATGCTATCAATTTGTTTTAAAAGCTGCTCCAAATTTTTGTAGTATTGCACAGACATTTTTCCAAAACTGACGTAAGCTTTTTGGAATATATGTATTTTATATCGCTTTCAAAATGTAACAAAACTTAAAAAGGAAATAATAATAATAATTATTATATATATATATATATATATATATATAGATATATATCTTCATCTTTACCTACTAATAAAGCGGCTATCGCTTCTGGTCGTCCGTCATTAATATTATCCTTCAATTTGATAAAAATTACCCACCAATGTCACCCATAAGTGAAAAACGATTCGTTTTTTCTCTTAAGTCACCGCCGACAGTGTCTGGTTCATATAAGGAAATGCGCTAGCAAAACACAAGCAAACAAACCACCCTACTGGCTTGGGCGTTTCTCTAGCATCCAGGAGTTCAGGATTCGAACCTGAATCCTCCCCATTTTCCAAGCCTTTTTTTTGCGAATTTCAGTAGGCCTAAGATAGAGCTGCATCGCTAAGTGTGGCTTAACAGATGGTCTATACAGTATTACGGTCAAATTATTCTCCTTTTAACTTCTTTTTTGTAAATTCAAGTATTTTTTAAAGTATTCATATTGTTCAACCCCCAACACCAAATTTAGCATGTCATAATTGTCCAAAAAATTTTGCAGATTCTAAATATAATGTTATCTTGCATGTTAATTATTTTTAAAATTATTTATGTTGCACCCTTAATTAGTACTTTTCTTTTCTATTAAAGGCACGAACGTTTCTTACTCCCTTTTTTTGTACGTCGCTTATTACCAGATTTTCATCTGTCGCTTGGTTCGTCCATTTGCACATAAAATAAAATAGAAAATAAAAATACTTGCAAATAATATAAAATGTTCATGAATTCAAAAATATATTCTTGATTTTAGAAAATTTTCAGAAAATTGTAAAAGCGTTCACAAATTTTAAAAATGTTCATGATTTCAAATATATGCACGAGTTTAAAAAATGTTCTTGATTTTAAAAATTATTCATGATTTCACGAGATTGAGAGTGCTAGTGTATCTCGATGATGGAATAAAATGTGGTCATGACCATTGACGACTATGAAAAAAAAAATCTTCCGTTGCAACGCACGGGCCCTTTTGCTAGTATAAAAAAAGGAACTGATTGGACGAACGGACGAAAAACAAATCGAAGACCTCGAAAAAAAACTCGAACCAACAGCGCTACGGGCTGTATCGCTCGAAGCCCATGTAGTCGCTCGGTTAGGGGCGGGCTGGTCTGTTCGGTCGGCCGCCGCACGAAGCGGCGGCGTGCGTTTCTTCTCCGGCCGAGAGGATTCGCGACTGCAAACGCTTGCGGCCCGTGCGTGCAGCAGATGCGCCGCCCACGGGAAACCAACCTCCTCCCGGCCGCCGGCGAAACAACATCTCCGTGCGGATTTACGGAGAGGCGGCGAGAGGGGGACGTTGGTTCATCGGCACGGAGACGATCGGGCTACGGCCGATGTACGTCGTCCTTGAATATAGGTACGTTCTGCAATCCCTCTTTGTATATTTGGTTGAAGCCTTTTCTGCGTCGGTCCTTTGTACGTTACAAAGATAAGAACAACATACTTATTTGCCATGTTGTGCAAGAGATCCCACTAGGCTATTTCTCTCATATGTAATTATCTCCCTGTTAGTACGCGCAGCCCCGGATTCATACTCCCCCGTTTCATAATGTAGTGCATATAGATTTTTTTGATAAGTCAAACCTTACAAATTTTGGCCAAATTTGTAGTGAATAACTTTTACATTTAGAATGCCAAATCTATATCATTTGATTCATGATGTAGTTTCAGATTTAATATAATTGACATTGACATTGTAGATGTAAATAGTATAATAATATAATTGATATTGTAGATATAAATAGTTTTCTCTATAAACTTGTCAAAGATTACGAAGTTTGACTTCCTGAAAACTCTATACACACTATATTATGATGGAACGGGGGGTGTAACATTTATCTCCCAGCAAGTATGCATTTACAGCGTCAATTTTGATTGTTAATACATATTATGGCTTTTATTACGTTTTCCCATGTCTGGTGCCCCAATACATGGACCATGTGAAGCATGGTCCGGCATACATGGACCGTGTTAAGCATTTGTTGTTAATACACATTTTGCTTATCTGAAGCTTCAAACTGCGTCTTGTCTGCAATGTTTTTACTGAACCCAAATTTCATTATGTAGTCCAATGATAAAGAAACAAAATACTGGCTGGTCTGCGTTGCCGAATGTCTGGCAAGCCATTTGGCTCCAACCCAAATGGACGCCTATCTTTTCTGCCAAATTGTTGGCAGGTACTATGGCTACAATCCAAACAACCAAAGCTTCCTAATATTTTGGCCATTACCAAAAATTTGGTAGGCCCAAAGGGGGCTTAGTCCAAGCATAACCCTAGTGGGTTCTGCCTTTGATTTGGTTGCTGCCTTATAATTTCATACTCCCTCCGGTCCAAAATAAGCGTCTGATTTTAGTTAAAATTCAAACTAAAACCACGACACTTATTTTGGATTGGAGGGAGTACTATATTTCCAACCCGTTTGATTAACTTGTCATGAAACGTGCATCAATTTCTATTTAACTAATGATCGCACGAACGGTTCAACGAAGTACTGCTCGGTACTACTACAACTACATCATGCAAAAGGTGCGTCGTCGTCGGTCGTCCAAGGCACTGGAGTGAAGTACAAGTACGTGTGCGTGATACATATATACTGGGGCCTTTTCTCCTCCCGGGACTTTGCATCTTTGAAATATTCTCATTTTTCTCCCATTCCAAAAGTGAAAAAAGGGTAGCAGTATGTGCTCTTTTCGGGGCGGTTAGATTCGTCGTCTCACTGCCCTTTTTTATCAGGGCATGCCCATGCACTGGTCAGTACTTTTTTTGCATTGGCCTGATGAGTGATGACCCTGCTGCCGACTGCAATGCCTTTACATCTGGGCTAGCTCTAAAGCTGCACGTAGCGCACTAGCTACTCTAGTTAGATGGTACTCCTTGTTACCTTGCTTAACATTTCTCTTGCAAGAACCTAACTCCTACTACTACTATAATACCGTTAGAATCGGATGATCTAGCGGTCTCTCCAAATGAATGGCCGACATGCAAGCAAGTCAACCGAGTCGACCAGGACTAACTCCAATTCCAGTCAAATGAAACAAAATGGACAGACACTCATACTGTCAATACTCAATACGCAATGCACCTGGGCGATGATATAGTTTTCTCTTCCTCTTTACCATATCACCTGAAAAACAGACTGAAGGCTGTAGCTAACAGCCAACTTTAGCAGTCAAGTTCAGGTTTGCACTTGCAAAAACACAGACAAAACATACCAACACAGTATAAACGAACAGTACCAACACACAGTTCTTACTGAAACACGAGACCACCGACAGCACATCACTTAGAGCAACAGACAAAAAGTAGTAGCAGTTAACTACCAATGTCAGCAGATAAGTTCAGGTTTCAATCAGCTTACAGAGCACAGACAGCAGCTGTACTAACACAGTAACACACAGTAGTTCTCTTAATCTTATTGCAAGATATGATCAGCCATGTCTACGTGAAGAACGTCAGTACTTAATTCCTTAATTATCCAGATCCAGACACTTTGCTATACACACAAACAAACAAACAACCAAAGGTCACCTGCTTTCACAAGTTGACAGCCTGCTAACTGTACCGCGCCAAGATTGAGACGACGTACGTACGTACTCACTCCATTGCCGCCGGGTAGGCGTACGTAGGGCTAGCCAGGCTGAACGCTAGCTAGTTGTGGCTTCCTCCACCGCCGCCGCGCCCTTCCCTCGGGTTGCCGGGCGGCCGCGGCCTCCTCACCGCCCTCACGCGCATGATCACCTCCCGCATGTAGAACCCCTACAGAAATCGCGTACGTGCGTGGCCAAGAGCTTCGTCAACTATGGAGAATAACCCGGCCGGAGATGAGAAATGCTTGCACAAAGTTGAAAGCTACTTACTCTGCCAGAGGTGGTCTTGGAGATCTCCCTGGTACCGATGTCCGCCGCCTCGCCTGCTTCTTCCCGTGACGAGTTAAGAGATGCGGCAGGAGCGGCGCTCGGCCTTGTGCCGCCGCCGAACCAGTCGGCCAGGCCCATGCACCACGCGTAGGCACGGCCGAGGTACCGCAGCAGCAGCGAGCACGGGTGCATGAAAAGCGACGGCGACTCCTCGCCGGAGCTCCTCTCCGTCTCCTTGTCCTTCTCCTCCCCTGCCTCCTCCTTGCGCTGGTCGGTGAGCTCTTCAGACTTGTCCACCGCAACCGCCCCCGCCTCCTCCTTGCGCTGGTCGGTGAGCTCTTCAGGCTTGTCCACCTCCGCCACCACCACCGCAACCGCCACCGCCTCCGCCTTGTGCTGTTCCGTCAGCTCTTCAGACTTGTCCTCCTTCTCTTCCTCCTTGCTCTGATCCGTTGGCTCTCTGAGACTGTCTCCCTCCTCCCGCTCCTCCTCCTCCTCCTTGCGCTGACCCGCTGATTCTTCAGGCTTGCCGGCCACCTCCTCCTCCTTGCGCTGATCCGTCGGCTCTCCCTCCACATCCACCTCCAGCTCCTTGTGCTGGTCCATTGCTCCTCCGCTTCTTCCTGGGCTTCTTCCTAGGCGCGCCGCTCTACGGGGATGGGGGCTTCTCGATGGGTTGGGAGGTGTTTGTGTGCGGTGTGGTCTACTGTTTCGCTTTCTTGAACTTTATTCTTTGCACATCTATCTTTTCCTTGAGGATGGATGGCGTTGATGCGTTCGAGGGCAGTAACTCCCCTCTGTCGCCGATTCATTTCAGGCTGGCCCCTATTTATTGCCATGGAACTCGAGCAGGTGAGGTGAGGCGAGGCTGGAATTTATCTTGTCTTCCAGGAATGCCCCTCGAGGGTTTGAACCAGTTTCGTAGACTGGATTTATGTCAATGCGACACCGTGTGCGCGCGCGCGCGTGTGACCTAATTTATGTCAAGTCAAGGTTTGAACTTTGAACCAGTTTTACACGTAGTAGTAGTATATATTCTGCAACGCCATTTTCTTGAAACCAGAGCAGTACGTGACGATCTATCTCACGCCCAAACTGGACTACTTCAGTACTCTACGATACGTACAGTATGTTGATGTACACCAGTGCTAAGAGCATCTCCAACAGCCGCGCTAAGCGCCGCGCGTAAAAAACCTGTTTGCCGCGCGCGCTTCGGCCTGCTTAGCGCGACCGCCAGCGCTGGCTCCAGCAGCCGCGCTATAATGCAGCGCGCGCGCCGCTCCAGCAGCGCGCAAAAATATAGCGCGCGCGGCTCGCCGGGCATTAACATATATGATATTTTGGACACAAAATGAGTTTGAAACATTCATCAAAATACAATGAACATATGAAATCTGACACAAACAAGTTGATGAATAAAAGTTCATGCCCACAAGTTCAAAATCATGCCCACAAGTTCATCCAACCAAGTTTAAATGCAAACTAAAGTTCAAGACATAAATGAAAGACACATCAATCATCTTCCTCGTCTTCGTCCTCATCTTTCGAAGACGATTCTTCCACCTTCGAAGATGAATCTTCCTCCCTAACCTCATCACGCACCGCATCACGTGAAGCTCCGACGATGTTGGCAAGATCTTCAACGGCATCTTCATGGGATTGTGTGTGAGGAGGCACATCGAAAGACATTCTACCCATGGCGGCCGGAGGTGCACCCATGCCTCCCATGAGAGAAGCAAAATTCATGTCTCCCATGGCGCCATAGCGTCGGAGGGTGCTCCAAAGCCACCCATGCCTCCCATGGCGGCCGGAGATGCACCCATGCCTCCCATGGCTCCGAAGCCACCCATGCCTCCATGGCGCCAAGGCCACCACCACCCATGACGCCAAGGGGGTGAGCGGGGTGCCGGTGTGCGCGTCCATGGGCGGGTGGCAGGGCGCCGGCGCGCGCGGGGCGTAGGAGGAGGAGAGGAGAGAGTGCGGCGCTAGCGCTCGAGTGTGCCGCGCGCTGTAGCGGGCGCCCGAAATACACCGTGCGGGATAGTGTTTCCGACCGCGCGCCCAACTCGTTATAGCGCGCACGCCGTTTTTGCGCGTCCGCTAGAGCGACTCGCCGCGTTGCGCGCGCGCTAAAACGGACTAATTTGCGACGCGGCGCTAGTTTAGCGCGGCTGTTGAAGATGCTCTAAGTATAGAAGGTACTCCCTTCGTTTCTTTTTAGTCTGCATATAAGGTTTGGTCAAAGTCAAGCTTTACAAAATTTGACTAACTTTATATTAAAAATCATCAACATTCACAATATGAAATCAACATTTTGAAATGCACCATGAAATGTATTTTTATATTATATAGTTTAAGTATTGTAGATGTTCATATTTTTTAATATATATTTGGTCAAATTTTGTGTAGTTTAACTTTGACCAAAACTTATACGCGGAGTAAAAGAAACGGAGGGAGTACCAGGGTGGTAAGCGGTTGACAAGTCGTCGTGAAAAACCGTGTGCCGGATCGGAGGGGTGGTCAGCTGGGCATGGGAGACCGGGAGGAGGCCAGCCACCACCTGCTGCCGCGCCACGAAAGAAAATTTAGTAATCGGGAGAATGTCGATCGATGCCGAGGACAAAAGCACCAAACAAGCTGCGAAGCATTGAAGAATCCTCCTCGGTTCACCTACCCAGGTTTACTTTGCATACCTGCCCACTCGCGAGCGTCATTCATGATAAACGCTGTTCTCTCAAATTTAAGTAAGATTCCAGGCGTAGAGATTGTGTCCTCTTGTCACCTCAGGAAATTCTCTTCTTTTGTGGTAGGAAGTAGGGTTTGGTGGCGTGATCTAATTCGAATCAAGCGTGTTCATCCCTGCCGACGTCCGCGTGAAGATATTCATAGAGATCAGAGTCTACACAATGCGGGCGGGGTGCTGTAAAATGAGGATTTCTTGTAGATTCATGTGTGGTGCAATTCGGGCCGTCTCTTCCATTTTGATTTGAAAGCGTCGAAGGTGACGGTGAGGTACTAGTGTAAAATAGTCGCGGAACTGATCAAGACTGTCTTTGCCCGGAGGGGACTGGTAATAAGTAATAGTGTAAAATAGTATGCATTAACGTACGTGGTTTTCGTAGCTGACCGGTCAATATCTCCGCATTACCGAGTTAATGAGCATTTATTATCCTTCAAACTCTTCAATCCAAAACTCGCATGTGTTAAATGGGAGGAGTTAAATGAGGAGAGAGAAGACTAATCCACATTTTAGTAGGGTTCCCCTGACTAATTTTTTTTAGTCTCAAGACTAGTTCTAGTCTCTCTTTAGTCAGGGGTGATTGGAACTTTAGCCTCTAAAAGACACTAGTTTTAGTCAGACTAAAAATAGTCCCTTGGATCCAAGCATGCTCTAACAGACCAAAAATGAATAGAATGGGATGTATCTAGAGCATTGAAGAATGGTCGTCGACCATTCTGAAGATGCACCTACTCCTGCCCAGGTTTGTACCTGCCCACTCGCGTCATTCAAGATAAACGCTGTTCTCTCGTATTTAAGTAAAATTCCACGCGCAAAGCCCCTGAATTGTCACCTCAAGAAATTGAAGACCCTCCTTTTGGTAGAGTTTGGCGCCGAGATCGAACTGGAATCACCCTTGGTTCCTGCCGACGTCGGTGCAGGTATTTTTGTAGGTATACTACTGAAAAATGGAGATTTGTTGCATTTGTGGGAATTGCATTTCAGAATGTCTATTCCATTTTGAAAAAGTCGGAGGTGACAATGTTGGAGTATTGATGAAGATTGTTTGTTTTTTGCCCGGAGGGAGCTGGCGATTGATGACCTGTGTAAGTGTGCATTAACGTGCATGGTTTCTGCTGCTAGCTGCTGCTGACCGGTCAGCACCTACTTATTTCAGCATTAACTTGTAGTGCTATTTCAGCACTATTACTAGGATTCCTTCCATCCTCTTTTCGTCCACATTTTTCCTAGTCAGAATTCGCCGATCAGCAAAAGACTTTGATTCTCAAGGAAGGCTTGAGAGCTCCCATCGGTTAAATGGCCATTCTTGCAACATGTATAGGCACGAACATGGTGTCGATGGATCATTTCTCTCGCAGGCGCAGGGGGCGGCATGGGTGTGAAGGTAAATAATGATAGTGGTCATTCTTTTCCAAACATGGAAGTGATTGCGATAGGGGGTGCCTTTGTCACCTTTTTTTTCAACATTGTTGTTGATCTTCTAGCGGTTCTCATTAACCGGGTCAAGGAGGTCATGTTGCGGGCTTAATTCCTCTTGTTGGTGTTGGTGGGCTTTGCGGTTCCATTATCTTCATGGAACACAACATTGAAACGCAAAAAAGAAAAAAGGGAACATATTCTTTGTTTATTCGAGCAATTATCTCGTCTTAAGATTAACTTGCACAAGAATGAACTCTTCTGCCTGGAAAGGCCAGAGAAGAAGAAAAAATAGGACAAACAACTATTTGCTTGTGAGTATGGCTTTTCCCTCTTTTTGTATCTCAATGCATTTCCGTAAACTTCTTAATAAGGATGGATAGGCCTTGAGGACCACTTTTGACAAAGAAGCTGGATTGTTGGATTTGTAAGCTTATGTCTTATGGGATAAGGCTAACCCTAATCAATGTTGTTCTCACAAGTTTATGTTCATGTCATCTATTCTTTCAAATACCTAAGGGGGTTAGGAAAATATTGGATTATTACAGATCTAGTTTTTTTCTGACGGTCTGATGAACATAAACGTAAACACCTCCTAACGAGTTGGGATGCATTATGTCGTCCTTAAGACCAACGAAGTCTAGGGGTGGAAGACCTCGAGATAAAAAACAAGTGTGTGTTGACCAGATGGAGATACAAGAAACTTTATCAGGATTGAGTTTGGCAAGAATTACTTAGAAATAAGTACCTTCATTCTAAGGCCTCCTTTGGTTTAGAGGAATCTTGTAGGAATTTCATAGGATAGGATTTCTATAGGAAAAATTCCTTTAGAGCCCTTTGGCTTGTAGGAATAGAATCCTATTCCTATGAAGGAATTCTTCCTATCCTCCACATTTCATGGGAAAATAAACATTAGCCTAGACTTAATGGAAAAAAAATCCTATGATGTGAATCAAAGGGCATCTCATTTCCTATTCCTACTCATAGGATTTGAGATACATGTCATCTCATTTCCTATGACTTTCCTATTCCTACGATTTTCCTATCCTATGAACCAAAGAAGGCCTAAAACCCTCTCTAAGGTTCATGCAAAACCAACAGACAAACTCTTCTCGAAAGGCCTCATGAGAGTAAAAAATGACTCTCTTCACAAAGACGTTCGTGGTAGGCAATGGCCTAACTATTAGGTTCTCAGAAGACACATGACTAGGGAACATGCTACTAGCCATGCAATACCGCGCCTCTATCATATTGTGCAGCGAGAAGATTCTCTATTATTACCTCAGTGATGGGCCAGGCGCCGTTCAATGTTGCCTTGCGACGGTCTGCATAAATCTTGTTGAAAGACCTATGATGGCCAATCTTCACATGAATCAGGCACATTCCTTTGGAAGTTGCCTATTTCCGGTGTCTTCACTGTCAAATCCATGTTTGAACCTAATCAATGATG